TCTTTATTATATCAAGGGAACTGTCATAGGACACTCTTGATTTGTTGGTGAGAAGATTGGATGGTCAAGTGACCCCATTCTACTTACTGTTTGCTCGGAGCCGGCATAGAACCCTTCGTTTTAATTAATACATATTGTTTAATTGAAGTAGGGATCGAGCCCTCTGGTTTATTTACAGTTTGAGTGGAGCAGGAATTGAACCCTCCGTTTTCTTTAATACCCGTTTCATTTCCCCTGATAGTTTAAGTTATTCTTGCAAGTATGGAGGAATACCAGTTTTGGATGAACGCTGGAAGTAAGTTAGGAATAACAGGGAAAAATTTAGAATCTTTCATTAGTGCTAAGATCCAGGAAAGACTAGAAAGAGAGAGAATTGAGAGAGAAGAAAGACAGAAAGGGAAAGAGAAGAAGAAGAGAGAGAGAATCGAAAGAGAAGACAAAAAGGAGAGAGAGAGAATTGAGAGAGAAATCCAAGAAAGATGATTAGAAAGAGAAAGAGAAGACAAAAAGGAGCGTGATAGACTTGATCGTGAAGAAAGAGCTAGAGAATGTGAGGAACAGGCTAAAATACGTGAGGAACAGGCTAAAATAAGAGAACTTGAGGAAAGAGCAAAGGATAGAGAAGTTGAGGAAAAAGCTAGAGAACGTGAGGAAAAAGCTAGAGAACTTGAGTTAATAGAGAGAGAAAAGGATCGCGAGCTCGAAAAAGCTCGCCTTCAAATTAGAGAATAAAAAGTAAACTTTTACACAACAACAATTAGAGGAAGGAGTAATTGAACATCATGCAGCTAGTGCACATATTCCAACACCTAATTTACCTCCCTTCACAGAGGGGGTTTGAAAATACCGCTACCCTCTGTGAATGGCCTGCTGACACCTGGGCTACCAGGTTAGGAATGTTATTTTCTGGTACCACTTTGAATATCTATGCAACTTTGTCGCAGGATATTATATGTAATTATAACCTACTGAAGAAGGCGATCCTTAAAGCATATCAAAAAACCACTAATTCTTACAGGAAAGATTTCAGGTATGCTACCTTACAGCCTGGCCAGAACTTTCAGCAGTTACAGGTAATAGTCTTTCGTTTGTTCGACTTTTGGATAGAGAGTTCAGGAATTGATCACAGTTATGAATCTCTTAGAAACTTCATGGTTGCTGACCAGTTCCTGACAGCTCTTCCTCACCAGATACGAACATTCATTAGAGAATGTAACCTGATTAAAGCTGAGGAAGTTGCTGAGGCTGCTGACCTGTATGCTGAGGCTCACAATTCCTATAAAGACCTAAAGGGATCGAACCTAAGGGCAAGGGTTCATCAGACCTTAAGAAATCAAGCTTCTGTGGAAAGTAAAATGACTTCTTTTATTCCTGTTTGTCATTTGTGTGGTGTTAAGGGACAAAAAACGTCCAGATTGTCCTTCTAAGAAGGTCCAAAAAGTTGGAAGATGTTTTAAAGACTGTAATGACCAAGCACCCTTCTGTTCAGGAACAGTTAATGGACTTAATGTATTCTACCATTTACGAGACACTGGATGCACATGTATAGTCATTTCTGATAAGCTGTTCCCTAACTTAAAGAAACTCATTCCTCTGCTATACTTTCAGACTACTTGGGCCGTACGGACACTTTTCCTATCATCCGTTGTTACATTAGGTCTAAATGGTTCACAGGTTGGTCTGAAGCCGTACTAGCTCCCATCACTTCTGCTCCGTACTAATAGGTAATGTAAAAGGCGCATTCTTCCTTCTGAGATTGACCTTTCATCACCAAAGGTGGACATAAGCTTTTCAGATCTTCTTCCTTTTAGAATCAGAGAAGCCCCTCGAAAGTTCAGATGAGACAATGTCTCGCGAGATTCATGTGGGATTAAAAACCAGTGATGCACTCTCGAAAGCGAGGTAGTAGGATCACCGGTTTCACCTTTTTAGATGAAAGTGAAGATATCACCTCTGATACCATAAATGTCTTGGGACTAGGGCTCAGACCAAAGCCCAGGCTTCTCCTACTGTCCATCCTTTGATTTTCCCTGACTTTAAGCCTTTAGATATATCGAAGGACTCCTTTGTCAATTTACTACGTAATTGCCCTTCTCTTCAGAATTGCCATAATGCTGCTAAACAAAATCAAGTTATCCAAAGGAAAAACTTTTCATATAAATTTTTGAATATATAAAAGGTATCTTGTACAAGTCAGTATTCAAATTAAATTCAGATGAGATGGGACTATTCCATCTTAGTTGTTCCAAGTCAATGCAGAGAGACTGTTCTTAAAATGGCTCATGACCTGCCAGTGGCCGGACATTTCTCGCATCGTAAAACCTTAAATAAAGTTAGGGAAACCTATTTTTGGCCAAAAATGTCCTCAGATGTCACTACCTATTGTAGATCGTGTAAAGTTTGCCAACTGTCATCCTCCCGAGGTACCAGGCGAGTACCTATGGTCAAAATGCCAGTCTTTACGGTACCTTTCGAAAGAGTAGCTATTGACATCGTTGGTCCTTTATCTCCACTTTCATCTGGGGGACATAGATATATATTAACATTAGTTGATTATGCTTCGAGTTTCCCTGAAGCCGTTCCACAGAGGGGGCTGAAGCCCTTTTTTCCATCTTCTCCAGAGTGGGCATCCCTAGAGAAATTTTGTCTGACCGTGGAACACAATTCACATCTGACTTAATGCAACATCTATACCAACTTCTGGGAGTGAAGCCTCTCTTCACCACACCCTATCATCCCAGCTGTAATGGGAGGATTGAATGCCAGCATTCGATTCTCAAGTCCATTTTAAGGAAACCTTGCTCCCTTAAACCTAAGGAGTGGCATCGTTACCTACCCTGTGCTTTGTTTGCCATGAGGGAAGTTCCCAGTGACTCTTTGGGGTTTTCACCTTTTGAACTTCTCTATGGTAGACAGGCCAGAGGCCCATTGTCCATCCTTCATGACTTATGGACTAATGAGGAGGTAAATGCTGAGGTTCAGTCTTCTTACCAGTTTCTCCTTGACCTTAGATCCAAACTTGAGGAGACCTCTGACATAGTTTCGAAAAACTTAAGCTTGTCATTGGACCAGTACAAAACATATTTTGATTCCAAAAGTCAGAGGAGAAGTTTTAAAGTAGGGGATGAAGTTCTTGTACTTTTGCCTATCAAGTCAAATAAATTATTAGTAGCATGGAAAGGTCCATATGAAGTATTAAAAATTTGCGGGAAAGTTGACTACCTCATAGAAGTCAAGGGGAAACCTAAGCTTTATCATATCAACATCCTTAAGAAATATTACCGAAGAAATTCGGTTAACTGCATTAATAACTTTGACTTAGTTTTTCCACACGAACTTGATAAGACAACTGAAGAATGTAAGGTGTGTGTAATTGACACCTCTAACTTAGACTATGATGAAGAACTACATAACTTGGTGACTCTTGACCACTCGGACGCAACCAACATTAATATTAATGAATCTTTGGATGACCATAAGAGACATGAACTACTTCAGTGTGTGAGTAACTTTTCAGACGTCTTTACTGATATTCCAGGTGTTACCTCCACGGTAGTCCATAAGATTGACTTAGTGACAGACAATCCTATCAAAAGAAAATTATACCCAGTTCCAGTTCACCTTAGGGATGCATTTGACCGAGAGGTAGACAAATTATTAAAACTAAAGATCATTAAACCTTCAGTATCTTCATATTGTTCACCAGTAGTCATGGTTAAGAAGGAGGATAATTCATATAGACTTGCTATTGACTTCAGAGGCCTTAATGCTATAACTCGGTGGGATGCTGAGCCTATGCCCTTAATAGATAGCGATCTACACAAATTTTATGACGCTTCCTTCTTTTCAGAGATTGATATTGCGCAGGCATATCATCAAGTAATGTTAGATCCTTCTTCTAAGCAGTACACTGCTTTTCCTACATACCAAGGACTGATGCAGTATAGAACTATGCCCTTCGGTTTGGTAACTGCCTGTGCTACCTATGTGAGACTGATGAGAAAGGTCTTGGGTAATATGCCAAATGTTTCAGTTTATTTTGATAACGTTTACGTAATGACATCCACGTGGGGCGAACATATCCAAACATTAACATCAGTTTTGCGTAGGTTACGTTCACATGGCCTCACTGCCAAGCCGAAGAAATGCTTCCTTGGGTATAACAAGATTAGATATCTTGGACTGATACTTTCTAATAACTCTCTGCAGCCTCTCCCCAGTAAGATCAAAGCTTTATTAGAATTTAAATTCCCCAAAACCAAGAAGCTCATGCGTAGCTTTCTTGGTTCTGTAAATTTTTATGCATGGTTTATCCCGAACCTTACTGATCTTACAGGCATCTTATCTGACTTCCTTAAAAAGTCTGTGAAGGAACCTCTTGAACTTTCCGACGTAGCTCGGGAAAAGTTTAATGAGATTAAAAGCATCTTTTCGAAAGACCTTATACTTAAGATTCCAGATATTAATAAAACATTTTGCTTAAGAACTGATGCCTCCAATACTGGCTTAGGTGCGGTGTTACTACAATACCATGATGGTACTCCCTTCCCTGTATGCTTCCTAAGCCGGAAACTCCTTCCCGCAGAAACGAGATACTCCACAATAGAAAAGGAATGTTTAGCCCTTGTGTGGGGTATCTCCAAACTTAAATTTTATTTGCTGGGAAAAGAATTCATTTTAGAAACTGACCACAATCCTTTGATATACCTAGAAACTTTTAAGGGAACCAACAGTCGCCTCTTGGGGTGGACATTGGCACTCCAGGCTTTTAAGTTCCATATTGTGTATATCAATGGTTCATCCAATTATTTCTCTGACTGGTTAAGTCGTGACAGTCAGTAGAAGATTTGTTGCCTTACCTAGGTTGTTAATAATTACAGGTTGTAATAATTACAGTTTACATCATTTACTTAACAAATGCATCCCAATAACTCAAACATTGCTACTTTCTGATAGCACCATTTTTGTCACCTCACAACTATATTTTTCAACATTTTCAGCAAGCACGATGAGATGCATGAGATGGGCAGTTGGTCCCCATCTCTTAAAACAAACATTACCAGTAACCATTTCTCGACGCTTTTTACCTGAGCGTGAGTAGAAATATTGTATACATTACATTAAACTATATTTGCTATTTTGTGTTAACTTTGCCATCTGCCACTGAGGCACAGTGACCCATAAACAAAGGAAATTCTGTATGTTACTGCCACTTAGAGGAGGGCCCTGCTTACACGGCAGGTTAGGTCCTGTGCTACCTTTGTAAACTGAAAATTGCTGTAAAGTGAAACATAGCCTTTTTCACTTTCAAATGCATAGAAAAGCCTGATAACTTGTTTACACTGTCATTTATGAGCAATGGAGCTAAGCCTAAAAAATGCATATACAGTGCACACATTACAGTGGACCCCCGGTTTATGATCAGCTCCCAGTGCGACCAATTATGTAAGTGTATTTATGTAAGTACATTTGTATGTGTATGTTTGGGGGTCTGAAATGGACTAATCTAATTCACAATATTCCTTATGGGAACAAATTCGGTCAGTACTGGCACCTGAACATACTTCTGGAATGAAATAATATCGTAAACCGGGGGTCCACTGTACTTATCTTAAAATATTTTTATCCTTAGCTTATAGTGAGTGGTGAATATATTTATTGTAGGAAGTTTGAATAAGTGAAAAATGGGTATAATTGAAAACCACTGCATTAACGAAATGCCGTAAAGTGAAACACTGTAAAGTGGGGCCCTCCTATATTCATTTGTTTTCCCAGAAGTGTTCAGACGTCACATTTTAAATGACATTTTGAAACGCAGCATCCTTACTCCTCCTTCAGGGTGCAGTCACTGTACTTACCACTTCCAGTATTAAGTCTGGGTAGGTTGGGAAGTGCAGTACCTGCACTCTGAAGAAGGCTTGGGGATGTTGTAGTCTGTAGGGTCATCCTAACTGTGATGTTTGTGTATTTTTACCAAGACAGCTATTACATGAATGATGGTGAATGTATTTCCTTGTTTTGGGTCACCCTGTATGTATATTATGTGCTGTATATTACTCTAACAAGTACAGTACTGTATTATAATTCTTCCATATGTTTTTGCTTGCACCCAGTACAGGTGTCCCTTGTTTTTTGCTGTAGATGTATTCCAGGCCATTGACATCTGTACTAAGCCCATTTAAGCCATATACACTTAATTACAAATACAGTGGACCCCCGGCATTTGATGGCATCGGTATGCGTTAAATCCAGTATACGATATATTTTGACGCAAAAAATTTGCCTCGCCACTCGTTAAAAAACCCGCCACACGCGATTCGTCCGGGATGTGTCCATGTGGCCTGAACTGCCCCGTGCGTGCCAGTGTTTACAAGCCAGCCAGTGTGCTCACATCTAAGCATAAATTCGGTACATTCCATATTATCACAGTGTTTTTGGTGCTTGTTTCTGCAAAATAAGTCACCATGGGCTCCAAGAAAGCTTCTAGTGCCAACCCTGTGGTAAAAAGGGTGAGAATTAGTATGGAAATTACGAAAGATTTTGAAAGGTTTGGGGCTAACCCTGAGAAGCCTAATCCAGTTGTGGAATCCATTGTGCCTACTTCAAAAATTAAAGAAATGTGTGCCAAGTGGGTTGAACTGCAAACCTTTATGGATGGTAATCACCCTAACACAGCTATTGCAAGCCATGTTCGTGACTATTACAATGACAATATTGTGGCCCATTTTAAATAAATCTGAAAGGAACGGGAGGTACAGACCTCTATGGACAGATTTGTTGTGCGACAGAGGTCCAGTGACTCTCAAGCTGGTCCTAGTGGCATTAAAAGAAGAAGGGAAGTAACCCTGGCAAAGGACTTGCTACCTCAAGTCCTAATGGAAGGGGATTCCCCTTCTAAACAATAACTTCCACACACTCCCCTCCTCCCATCCCATCAATCATCACCAGATCTTCATTAAAGGTAAGTGTCATGTATTCTATTGTTAGTAGAGTACTACAAACTGTGCATGTCTTCTTCAGTTTGTGTACATTAAACTTAATATTTCATATGGTAAAATTTGTTTTTCATACTTTTGGGTGTCTTGCACGGATTAATTTGATTTCCATTATTTCTTATGGGGAAAATTAATTCGCCTTCCGATAATTTTGGCATACGATGAGCTCTCACGAACGGATTAATATCGTATACCGGGGGTCCACTGTACAGTGGTACCTCGAGTTTCAGCCGTAATTCATTCCAGAAGGCTGTTTGAGTGCCGTTACTGAATGAATTTGTTCCCATAAGGAACAATGCACTTACATAATTGTTCGAGTTGGAAGCTGTACGAAACTTGGGGTACCACTGTACACCATTAAGAATCTTCCATGTGTTTTATGAATTATGCCAATCACATATGACAACTGTAAATCACACACAGAATTATTGATAGAAATAGATCACATAATAGCGAATTTGCACAAAGGTAATCCTCATGAAGCAAAGGAGACCTGTATCTTCTTTGTTTGTGTAAAATATATAAAATTTGTATAGTATATATTGGACTGTATACAATATAATAAATAGACAAAAATTTAATTTGTTTATGCAGTACAGTATATGATGTTGATTTTTCAGCAAGAAAACGATTCTACAGGAATGTAACAGTCGCTGGAACAGATAGCATTTATGAAGTAAATCTCGATCATCGCAAATTAAAGACTCCCCTCGGAAATGTATTACAAGTTAGTGAGGCATTACTTAATGTACACTTTAGACTTTGATAGCACGATTGCCAAATGAATGTCTAATAATTTTCTTTGTAAACAATCTCAAATTTGATTTAGAGATTTTTACATGCTTATACAGTACAGTATTATAAGCTCCCAGTATTATTGTTATTTTTATTGTTGTTTTTGTATTAATGATAGCATTTGTTAGAAATGTTCTTAGTAATGAGATTGAAGCATTATTAATTATTACCACTACCCTCTCACAATCCATACTATATTTTTGTTGATTTCTTGTTAAACCTCTGTTTAATAGACCTCTATTTAATGGATTTTGGGTTTAGCAGACAAAATTCATTGTCTGGACTAAGTCCAGCAACAATGGACAAAGACCATTTTTTCCAGAATTGTCAGTTATTGTCATGATGAGTGAAAAACAATCTCATCATTTAGATTTAATGGACAATCATCATTACTGGATACTCTTTTTCTCTTATTAAATCAAGGCTTCTCTACTGTATCTCTCCTGGAACTTGCCAGGTGAGCAACAAGCCTGTAAGATGCCTCATTTTTGACATCTGTTACCTGTCACATGACTTATTTTTTTACCATGTTGCTTCTAGACATTCCACTCATCAACAGATGCTCCTTGCTTTACGATTGTTTTACTTGTGGCATTTTCACTTTATGATTGTACAATAGTGATGTACATTTATACTATTCAGTACTGTACATTTATTGATAGGATAAACTTGTATTCATTTATTTACTTTTCAATACTGGTATTTAGTTACAGTAATTATTTGTTTATTCACTTAATCAGTAACACTAGTTATTTACTTATTTATCATATATTCATATTCAACTTGGTATATTTTCAACTAAGGATGTATTCATAGGGACATAACCCCATCGTCAGTCGAGGAGCACCTGTACTTCCCTTCATGGTAGATAAACTGCAGTTCAAATGAAAATTTTTATAACACAATAAATACCAATTTGACAAAGAGTTATGTGTTGCATTTATTAATGTTTAATTGTTACTTTAGGTTCCAAACTATGGACTAGCACTTGCTATTGCTCATGAGTGGGCATCTGTGAAGGATAAAATTCATCCTAGTCTCCTCCATTTGGTAAGTTATTAATGTTGTATTTATAAATCATCCTTGTGTGTTAAGTTTTCATGTAAGGCAAACTTTCTGCTTCTTATTTCTGATTGGAGCTGTAAGAATATTCCATGATAATTCTCCATTTTTAGATTACTGCATGTAGTCCAGTCTGTTATACTTGTATTTTATGCTTCATCTGATAAATATACTGTATCCTATTTTCAATTTGGTTAATTAGTTTTTATGCTCTGGTGATGATTATAGTATGGCATTTGTCTATTATGTTTATTATGCAGAAAATTCATAGCTTGCAGATTAGGAGGAGGTTATTGAGGTGGTATGGACATTTAGAGAAGATGGAGCAAATAGGATGACTTGGAGGGGGTATAAATCTGTAGTGAAGGGAAGGTGGTGTAGTGGTTGTCCTAGAAGAGGTTGGAGGGAGGAGGTAAAGAAGGGTTCGTATGTGAGGGGCTTGGATATCCAGCAAGTGTAATATGAGCATGTTAGATAGGAGTGGAGGCAAATGGTTTTTATAACTTGACATGCTGTTGGAGTGTAAGCAAGGTAACATTTATTAAGGTATTCAGGGGAAAACAGTTAGATGGACTTGAGTCCTGGAGGTAGGAAGTACAGTGCCTGCCCTCTGAAGGAGGAGTGAGAATATTTGCAGTTTGGAGGGACATCTGAGCTGTAGTATTGGCATGCCTCTAGCAAGACAGTGATAGAGTGAGTGATGGTGAAAGTGTTTCTTCTTTTTTGGGTTGCCCTACCTCAGTTGCAAATGGCCATTGTTAAAAATGTCAGTCCATCCATTTAAAAATATCTAATCAATAACTCATTATTACTTTAATACTTTCTTTAGAGATTGCTAAAGTGTTACCTTAGATTGCATTTCATTTTACATCCACTTATTATTGGCACCCGTGTGGGGTGTAGGCAGGGAGGATTAGACAGCATTTTGCCCACATAGTGAACTCACCATGTGGGCAAAACATTGTATAATAAAGATTTTGTCCACCAAGTATCTTTATACTGTGCCCCTGGTGAAGCATAGAGACAAAATTTCTGAGTATTATTTATTATTATGAATGACTTGACACTTATGAAACTGGTAATTAACTGCTTCACTTACCTTGAAGTGTATGTCAACCACATCCATTATCCATTGTTAAGTAATTTCTTCTTTCAACACACTGGCTGTATCCCACTGAGGCAGGGTGGCCCAAAAAGAAAAACAAATTCCTCTTTTTAACTTTAGGTAATGTATACAGGAGAAGGGGATGCTAGCCCCTTGCTCCCAGCATGTTGGTTTCCTCTTATGACACGCAAGGCTTACGGAGGAAGAATTCTGTTCCACTTTCCCATGGAGATAAGAGGAAATAAATAAGAACAAGAACTAGTAAGAAAATAGAAGAAAAGCCAGAGGGGCATATGTATATATATGCTTGTACATGAATGTGTAGTGTGACCTGAATGTAAGTAGAAGTAGCAAGACATACCTGAAATCTTGCATGTTTATGAGACAGAAAAAAGACACCAATAATCCAATCATCATGTAAAGCAATTACAGGCTTTCCTTTTACACTCACTTGGCAAGACGGTTGTACCTCCCTTGGCAGTTGCTGTCTACCATCCTACTACCTAGGGTTAAATAATTTATGAGCTAGAAATCACAAAGCAAGAGAGAGTTCAAATGTCTTGATACCATCGAAGGGCTTTTGATCTAAAGAATTGTGGCAGTCCTGCCCTACCTTGGATCAAGCCTGATTATCTCCCATTCTTTTTGAGCTTTATGAGACCTGTAAGTTTCTTGTGAATGAAATAATACTGTATAGTACTGCACAATAAATAGTTTTCCCATATGTTGTAGTTTCACCTGTTATTCGATATTACCTTTGTAATAGTTACTGCAGTTATAGATTAATATGAAAACTGGACATACAGCAGGCATGTGTGAGTGTTAGATGGGAGTGAGTGGAGACCTGATTTTTGGAACCTGACAAGCTGTTGGAGTGTGAGCAAGGTAATATTTTGTGAAGGGATTCAGGGAAACTGGTTAGCCAGACTTGAGTCCTGGATGTGGGAAGTACATTGCCTGCACTCTGAAGGAAGGGTTTGGGAAATTTACTGTTTGGAGGGACTATTGAACTGTTTTAAATAATATTTTCTTTTGTCAGTCTGCATGCTTCTGGTAAGAGAATGATAGCGTGAATGATTGTAAGTGTTTCTTTTTCAGGTCACCCTTCCTTGGTGGGAGACGGCCAACGTGTTAAAAAAAAAAAAATTGTGTTTGAAGGACAGCTTAATATTGCCACGAGTGTGTGTTAATTCTAGTGAAGACTTGGTTTGAGGAATTAGAGCTATTTCTGCTCTCTCTTCCTTGGATCAAGCCTGATTACCTCTAACTGACAGGCACTGTATGACCCCGTACAGCTTCAGCAAGTCTCCTTGAGTATAGTAATAATTTGCTGCAGGTTCACATATATGAAATCCTTAATTTCTTTATTTAGTTTGAGTGTGAGTATGGCAACATTTATGAGGGGATTCAGGGAAGTCAGTCAGTCCTGGGGGTGGAAAGTACAGTACATGTACTCTGAAGGAGGGGTGACAATCTTACAGTTAATAGGGTCATGAAGTCTGTGCACTTTTGGCAAGGCAGTTACTGAGTGAATGATGGGGAATGCATTTTAATTTTTTGGAGTCATTCACCTTTTCTCAGTGGGAGATGACTAGTGTGGCAAAAAGAAAATAAGAAATTGGGATTTAAATAAGTTGTTGCATTTGTTGATTGTGTTGCATTGTCTTTCAGACTGGGTTGGCATTCAGTGTCATAGACAATGTGAACCATGAGACCAAGTGGAATATTGTCAACAAGACTCTGGAATACCTAGTTACTGATACACTCCTCTACCGAGACAATGTAAGTGCTAAATCTAAGCTTGATTAAAGGAAGGCAAGGATAACCCCACTTCCTTGGATCATTGTAAGTAATGAAGAAATCAGTGTAATGGGAAGTTGTGTGTAGATTAAGGCATTATATTAACCCCTTGAGGGTTTGTATTGTTTTATAGGTTTAAAGCCAGGGGTCCGTGCTGCAATACAGTACAGTGGACCCCCGGTTCGTGATGCCATCAGTATCCGATAAATCCGGTATTCAATACATTGTAACGCAAAAATTTTGCCTCGGTTCCCGTTAAAAAACCCAGTATACGCGATTCGTTCGAGATGTGTCCACGTGTGGCCTGAACTGCCCCATGTGTGCCAGTGTTTACAAGCCAGCCAGTGTGCTCGCATCTAAGGATACATTCGGTACATTCCATATTATCACAGTGTTTTTGGTGCTTGTTTCTGTAAAATAAGTCACCATGGGCCCCAAGAAAGCTTCTAGTGCCAACCCTTCGAGAGAAAGGGTGCTAATGACTATTGAAATGAAGAAAGAGATAATTGCAAAGTACGAAAGTGGAGTGTGTGTGTTGGAGCTGGCCAGGTTGTATACAAAACCCCAATCAACCATCTCTACTATAGTGACCAGGAAAACGGCAATCAAGGAAGCTGTTCTTGCAAAAGGTGCAACTGTGATTACGAAACAGCGACCGCAAGTGTTAGAAGATGTTGAGAGACTGTTATTGGTGTGGATAAATGAAAAACAGATAGCAGGAGATAGCATCTCAAGCGATCATTTGTGAAAAGGCTAGGAAGTTGCATGACGATTTGGTAAAGAAATTGCCTGCAACTAGTGGTGATGTGAGTGAATTTAAGGCCAGCAAAGGTTGGTTTGAAAGATTTAAGAATCGTAGTGGCATACATAGTGTGATTAGGCATGGTGAGGCTGCCAGTTCGGACCAAAAAGCAGCTGAAAAATATGTGAAGGAATTCAAGGATTACATAGACAGTGAAGACTTGAAACGTGAACAAGTGTTTAATTGTGACGAAACAGGCCTGTTTTGGAAGAAATTGTCAGGCAGGACCTACATTACTCAGGAGGAAAAGGCACTCCCAGGACATAAGCCTATGAAAGACAGGTTTACTCTGTTGATGTGTGCTAATGCTAGTGGTGATTGCAAAGTGAAGCTTTATTGGTGTATCACTCAGAAACTCCCAGAGCATTCAGGCAAAAGAATATCCTCAAGGCTAATTTGTGTGTGCTGTGGAGGGCAAACAGTAAGGCATGGGTCACTAGGGACTTTTTCTATGACTGGTTACACCATGCATTTGCCCCCAATGTGAAAAATTTACCTAATTGAAAAGAAATTAGACCTTAAGTGCCTCCTGGTATTAGACAATGCCCCTGGTCATCCTACAGACTTGGCAGAGCGACTTTCTGGGGACATGAGCTTCATTAAGGTCAAGTTTTTGCCTCCTAATACCACTCCTCTCCTGCAACCCATGGACCAGCAGGTCATTTCCAACTTCAAGAAACTGTACACAAAAGCTATGTTTGAAAGGTGCTTTGAAGTGACCTCAGACACTCTATTGACTAAAAGAGTTTTGGAAGGATCACTTTAATATCCTTAATTGTGTAAACCTTATAGGTAAGGCTTGGGAGGGAGTGACTAAGAGGACCATGAACTCTGCCTGGAAAAAACTGTGGCCAGAATGTGTAGACAAAAGGGATTTTGAAGGGTTTGAGGCTAACCCTGGGAAGCCTATGCCAGTTGAGGAATCCACTGTGGCACTGGGGAAGTCCTTGGGGTTGGAGGTTAGTGGGGAGGATGTGGAAGAGTTGGTGGAGGAGGACAATGACGAACTAACCACTGATGAGCTGCTAGATCATCTTCAACAGCAAGAGGCCAGACCTGAGGAAACTGCTTTGGAGGAGGGGATAGAGAAATTGAAGAAGTTGCCTACTTCAAAGATTAAGGAAATGTGTGCAAAGTGGCTTGAAGTACAAACCTTTTTTGATGAAAATCACCCTGACACAGCTACTGCAAGCCATGTTGGCAACCTGTACAATGACAGTGTTGTGAACCACTTTAGGAAAGTCATAAAGGAACGAGAGGTACAGGCCTCTATGGACAGATATGTTGTGCGACAGAAGTCCAGTGACTCTCAAGCTGGTCCTAGTGGCATTAAAAGAAGAAGGGAAGTAACCCCGGAAAAGGACTTGCTACCTCAAGTCCTAATGGAAGGGGATTCCCCTTCTAAACAATAAGTTCGACACTCTCCCTCCTCCCATCCCATCAATCATCACCTGATCTTCATTAAAGGTAAGTGTCATGTATTCTATTGTTAGTAGAGTACTACAAACTGTGCATGTCTTCTTCAGTTTGTGTACATTAAACTTAATATTTCATGTGGTAAAATTTTTTTTTTCATACTTTTGGGTGTCTTGCACGGATTAATTTGATTTCCATTATTTCTTATGGGGAAAATTGATTCGCTTTTTGATAATTTTGGTTTACGATGAGCTCTCAGGAACGGATTAATATCACAAACCGGGGGTCCACTGTACTACGTGATGAGCTCAGCTCACTCAGATAAACTGTGACTGGTAAATTTGGGTCTAGATATGAGAGAATGTATCTGTATGGTAAGTGTGCACCATATAAAATAAATCCTGCAACGTGCGGTATGTAATGAGAAAAAAACTGTGACAGTATGTTTGGTTTAAAACAGCGACTTTGCGGTGTATTTTCGTAGGGTTTTCATGGTTGCATTCTTGGTTTCATGGTCTCATTTGATAGAATAGAAGATATATTATAGAAATAGATTCTTTTTATTGGTTTTAGGACTGAAAATAGCATGGAATTGATCTCAAAGTAGCAGAAATGTACGATTTTTGCCGATTTTCAAGAGTAAACAGATCACATCATGCATGAAATACACTTCAACTGGTGGGTCTAATATGCATTCACAAATACCCTGATGTTATTTATACAATTATTACAATATTACATAACAGTAAATCTTCTGTTTTTTGGTGTGAATAAAAATATTTTGTGATTAAAAGATCAAAATGGAATTCATGTGTAAAGCCTAGAAACATAACTAATAAACAGAGGAAATGGTATTTTAGTGCCAGGAATGTCTGCATTGTTTATTCTAGACCCTATTTTGAAATTGGAATATTTTGAAATTTGTGTGAAATTGGCCAAATTACCAATTTCTGACCACTTATTGGGTAGTTGAAACAGTTGATTGGGTGGTTCTTGTTCTCAGTCGATAAAATGGAAGGCATACTAGTAAAATAGCTAATAATTTTGTCAACTGGAACAATGTAACTGACCTAAAATAGGACTCAGTTGGCAAAATCGCTGATATGTAAATATTGCTGACACAGCAAAATTCGCGAAAGCGTAATTTCGTCAGTTTTCCATCAGATTCTGTACTTTTTATTTTATTACATTCAGAAATAGATTCTCCACTATTTTCCGCTATTTCTTGGAACATGTGGACACTTCAGATTGGGGGTCTGGACCCCTTAAGGGGTTAATACTGCATAGTGTTACCCCTTGATGTTGCTGAGGGGATCTTAGTCTAAGGAATTGTACTTGTTGCCCCTTCCTTGGATCGAACCCAGTTGTCTTCCATTCCCCAGGCACTAAATAATACTGATAATTTATTATTTGCAGCAGACTTGGTCTGCTGCATTGATGATGCTACCAGTCACCCCAAATCAACACTCATGGAACCTTTAGCCCTGCCAGATTTTTTTGTCTGTTTTATTTGAAATTCATTACATAGGGTCTATTATACCAAAGTTTTACTGTAATAATGATGAATAGATTTGAAAACATTAGTGTAATCTTTTTTGTTTCATTTCTTTGTGTGTACTCTGTCATAACTTAGTTCTGTTATTGTAAATAAATTTAAAGTTTGCGACTATTCAGTCTTTCTAGCAAATACAGAATGCAGTATTTTTTTTTGGCTGTTTAGGCTTATGGGCCAGGGTAGTAATAACCTGATTGATCACACTTCTGTCTGCAGTATAAAATTCTCTAAATTGGTTATATGTTCATTTCGTTTTAGTTTTAATTGTAATAATAATAATACTAATAATCATTTTGTTTTGCTCTGTTCCCCAGTTCTCTCTCTCTCTTTCTCTCTCCCTTTCTCTTGTTCTTTGCTTTTACCATAACCATTTTCTCCATTACTTCATTTTTTCTTTATATGTCTTTCCTTTCTTCCCATCTCACTGAGAGTAAAGTTTAAATAGTCTGACATAAAATTTCATCTAATGTACAAGTAATCTTCAGGGTATGGAAGATTTCACTGCGATGCAAGCTAAGGAGTGGGATCCAGTTCTTGATTGGTTTAATAGAAGGTTTGAGACGGACCTGAAGCCTTGTGATGGAATCTTAGTGGTTGATATTCCTGAATCAACTCGTGAGACCATCAGACGTTACCTTCTTTCTTACGATATATGGGCAGTTAATGGTAAGTATATCCTTTTCAGTACCAGCTAAATAGTACAGTATGTAATAGAGAGAGCATTCTTATTTTCCATTAAAAGTATGGTGACATCATGCATCCCTTAGACAGGGATGCATGATGTCACCATAGTTGTTTAACACATTTATAGATGGGGTTGTAAAAGAAGTGAATGCTTGGGGGTTGGGGAGAAGTATGGGATTAAATTTTAATGTATATGATACAAAACTGGATCAGGAGGAGGTACAGTATATACTACAATCACTGAAAATTTTAAAAAAGTTATACTAGTACCATCCGACTTCCGAGCTTGGTTCCAACCAGCTGGTTGTAAGTCAAAATGGACACAAGTCGAACCTTAGAAAATTGCCGACATACTGGGTAGGGTATAATGTCAAACCTTTACTATATAAACTACCTACATAGTATCGTATGTTACTTTTTACTAAATATTTTGCTACTGTATGTCAACATCACAGTTATTGTTATGATTTTATTTTATTGTTTTATTTTTGTATTTCATTTTTTACTTTACTTTTTATGCTTTTAGTACTGTATTTTATACTGTAAGGTTTAGGAGAAACACTATGTACATCACAAACACTTGTTTAATTCCCAGAACATTTGCATACAAAATGTGTTCGAATTCACTTCAAATGAAAGAAAATGAAAACATTTGTATGCATGAACAGAAAAGTACAAAATAACTTAAGCTAAGCTGTAAACAGTGTAAATAAAAATTACATAAATTCAAAAAATAGATAAAAAGGAAACTCAAGGAAATTTTAATGAAATATAAATGAAATACAAATAAGGATAGGGACACATTTACAGCCCGCTAGTGCTTGGTTGGGGATTGTCTACACTTTCTTCCTCTGAAAGGGTAGGGGTGGGAGGAGGCGGGGGAACACTCTTGATAAACATACTGAGATTTGTTTGAATTTTCCTTTTTTTCTTTGTAAATGTGTCTGTATTTGGACGCATTGAATCCTGTACCATTCTTTCAGTCTTGACAAACCATTCAATGTTAGGGTCCGTATTCTCCAATTTTCATAACACTTGGTTTATCAACGAAAAACGCTGTGATAATTCCTTCACCGAGAACTTACTTTCTGGCTCCTCCTCTTTTTTTTTCTTCTCTGTCTTTGTTGTTCTGCTTTTCTTTCTTCTTCTGTTATCAGTTCTTAATTCGTTAACTCTTGAACTTCTTCTGTCAAAAGTTCTTCAATATCATCAGCATCACATTCAAGTTCGAGTTCGTTAGCCAATTTTAAAATCTCACCTCTCGAAGTCATGAAAATCTTGAATGAAGTGCTCATTCCACTGCTTCCAGATGCCGTTTATACACTTAGCTGTAACCACCTCCTATGTTTTTGATCCACTGATAAATGTTATACTCCTTCCAGAAGTATCTTAGAGTTACTTCTGGGTCTGAATCAATGGCCTCGATAGCTTGATCATAAGATATGCACAGATAGTGTGCTTTATAATTGAAATAACCCCCTGATCCATGGGTTGTATGAGTGAGGTGGTGTTGGGGGGCATAAACATCACTCGTACATTAGGGTCTAGATTGTCCAAGTGAGGAGGGTGGGCAGGCGCATTGTCTAAAATTAAAAGAATTTTGAAAGGGACTCCTTTTTCCTGGCAATACTTGGGTGTAGCTGGGATGAAACAGTTTGAGAGCACAGGGGTTCTCGGCCATGTAAATTAAGAAGGGTTTTATTTCGAAACCAGCAATATTCCCCCCAAGCAGCAATGAAACCCTTTGCTTCATAACCTTATGCCCTGGCACACTCTTCACTTCCTTAGATATATACGTTCCTTTAGGCATTTTTTTCCAGTACAGGCCAGTTTCATCAACATTAAATATTTGTTCTGGCAAATACCCTTCTTCTTTTATTAAATTATCTAACTCACCAGCAAAGTTTCTTGCACCTTCTTCATCACAACTAGCTGCCTCATCTTTCACTATCACGTAATGAATTTGGCATCACTGACGAAATCTAAAACACCCATCACTTGCAATAAATTATTGATTATGCTCCTCCTCACTAGCACGTTGTTTCAACCTGTAAAACAAACTTTTTGCTTTTCCTTTGTCAACACAGTGGAATGGGAGAGCTGAAGATCACGAGAAATGCTGTTGACGTTTTTTTCATCCTCATACTGTTTAATTACTTTCATCTGGGGTTTTTATGAAAAATTTTTACCCTCATCGGTAGATATTTTTGTAATTCGGTTTTTTACAGTATTGGCAAAGCGTGACTGGGCTCGGGTGAGTGAAAAAGACGTATGTGGTGTCATCTGCAAAAAGTGGGGGTTTTGAGTAATTGCAAAGCATTTGGTAGGTCATTTATGTATAGGAGAAAGAGAAGAGGGCAAAGGGACACTTCCCTGTGGGACACCAACTGTAATTGGTTGTGCGGAAAGCTTGCCCCATTTGCGTACACATATTGGCTTCTGTTGCTGAGGTAAGACTTGAGGTAGTTGAGGGAGTGCCCTCTAATACCATAGTGTGACAATTTTACGTGGAGCAAGTCATGGTCAACTGTATCAAAAGCTTTACGTAAGTCAATGAAGATCCCCAGTGGGACTTCTTTTTTCTCTATTGCAGTGTATATATGTTCTAGCATGTGTACAATAGCATCATTAGTATTTTTATTAGGCCTGAATCCAAATTGGCATTATATTGTTGACAAAACCTGTTTACACAAACCCATGCTGCCTTCCCCACCACTGACGTAGCCTTCCCCACTACCCATGTCATCTTCCCCACCACCCACATGGAAATAAGTCACTTTGTCTGACTTTTTTTGGGTTATCCTAGGTAATCTACACATATGCTGCTATGTTGTTTACACAAACCAACGCTGCCTTCCTCACTACCCACACACTTCCCCACTACCCACACTGCCTTTCCCACTATCTACACAACCTTCCCCACCACCCATGCCGTCTTCTTCCTCACCCACATGGAAATAAGTCACTTTGTCTGACTTTTTTGGGTTATCCTAGGTAATCTACACATATGTTGCTATGTTTACACAAACCCATGCTACCTTCTCCACCACCTACGCAGCCTTCCCCACGACCCACACTGTCTTCCCCATCTACTGTGCTGTCTTCCCCACCTACTATGCTCTCTTCCCCACCAACTATGCTGTCTTCCCCACCAACTATGCTGTCTTCCCCACCAACTATGCTGTCATCCCCACTACCCACATGGAAATGAGTCACTTTGTCTGACTTTTTTGGTGGAAGGTTGATAATCGTCTGGATTTTCAGCACTATTTCTGGTATCCTGGGCATAGCTTTCTGCCACAAACTCCTCAACCATGAGATTCATCTTCACTGACACTTCAATCTGTGTTAGAACCATCACTTGGGAAGGGAAGAGTCCCAGTTCACCGGAGAGTGAGGTATTCCTTACCGCTAGGTTTGGTGACCAAGGCGTACTGAATTAGCACTCGTACAGTGCAATGCGGGTGCCCCAATTTTTTTCATATTGCACACACTGACCATGCAGACACATTTTCTCGCAGGCCTACCAGCTTTCTCCCACTAGATTTGAAGCTGCTAGAATTTTGGCATAGTTTTACGGGACCGACAATGGCTCTCAAGCCGTAATATTACGGGACCGACAGTGAAAGAGTTAAATACAGTTCTGAAAATGGGACACCATGTGCATAGTTCTGTTCTAGCAACTATAAATATGGAATTGCATCTACCCTTTACTCAAGTAGTATATACAGTTGACTGTAAATTAAGACTGTAGTTATATTCCTGAATGTGGCGTATTTTCAGAAATCATCTAAAATGAATTGAGGAACATGTGAGAAAAATAGGTTTTTATTCATGACTGCTTCATGAAGTTTTTGGAGACTAGCAACCAAAATACAAATATTTTAAGAACTTGAAAATATGAACATTTATTTAGTGTGATGTAAATACACCATACACTACTGAACAGTACACTTTCTTCACATAATGGGGTCCTTCAGGAGGGGTGCCTTGATGATGGAGAAGGTATCTTGTTTCAGGGACATAGAGCTACCCTCCCCTACCTCAGATCAAATCTGATTACCTCCCATTCCCAAGAAGCTATATGACCCATGTGGGTTTATTACCTGCCATGATTATAATTAATATGGGAGTGAAAAATGGGACTAGGTGGTGCTTGGAACACATTTATTTATGTATGAAAGGACTCAAGAATAAATGAAAATGTATGTAAACCCTGTAACTTCAAATCTTCCAGCAAGGAAGGAGTGTGTCTAGACCAGACTTGTGGATGCTGGTAGGATTCAAGTGCATGTACTTATAACATTTTTATTGGATACTTATCCGTCCTGGGACTTACATCACTTGTTTATTTGTTTTTAATGCACTGGCCATCTCCCACTAAGGTAAGATGACCCAGAAAAGAGGAAACACATTCACCATCATTCTTTCAGTAGCTCTTTTGTCAGAATGTTCTGATATCACATTTCTGAACTTCAGCATCCCCACCCCTCCTTCAGAGTGCAGGCATTGTACTTCCCACTTCCAGGACTCAAGTCTGGCTAACTGGTTTCCCTGAATTCCTTCTTTTTTACCCAAATACTGTTAATCCCTCAATGCCATTGTTCAATAGTTCATTCCCTGTGCAGAGTGGTGGAGGTGAACTGTCTAATATTGTATTTATGTTGAAAAAACATTGATTGGAATGTTCTGAGACAAATGATTACTTTTACAGGATTTCTGTTTGGTGTGGAAGTGCTCAAATCTGTCATCCTGGCGATTGCCGCTGCAGAACGAAAAATATCTTCAGAAAAAGCAGTATTTCTTTCAAGATTGGAAACCAATTTTCAGGTAAGAAAGATAATAATAATAATAATAATGATTTATTATTGTTATTATTATTATTATTATTATTATTATTATTATTATTATTATTATTATTATTATTATTTTAATATGCTGGCTGTCTCCCACTGAGGCAGGGTGACTCAAAAAAGAAACACTTTCACCATCATTCACACTATCACTGTCTTCTCAGAGCTATGACACCCAGAGCCATGCACATATGACAGTTTAGATGTCCCTCTAAACAAATATCCTGAACCCCTCCTTTAACCCTTAAACTCTCCAAATGTAGATCTACGTTCACCTGCGTGGCACTCCGAATATTTTGTAAAATAAAAAAATTGTTTTTTGTTTTTAAATTAAAGAGGGCAATTTTCTGTGTGGTATAAGACCAAAAAAGAAATTTTAGGATCAGTACTTACCAAGATATAAGAGCATGAAGTTGTCTCTGGATGCTCACCTAATGGCAACATCCAGTCCTGCCACTTGGAGAAGTGTTGCCAATTTACCTTTTTTTCTCATTTTTATTTTAATTTATATAATTTTTATGTTATGATAATTACAATTTATAATAGTTCTTGTGATTTCATAGCCAATCTTTGTTCTGACACTAATATTATGTACTGAAATAGTACTCAAATTGTAACAGTCACACTGACAGGTGAACATTTTCACCTGCCCTGGTCATTACTATTGTCTAAAAATGTATACAAAGTATTTATTAGGTCCCAGCAATGTTTTAGACTGCTGGAGTATGAAACTCCTTAAAGCATGGTGTTATGCAAAGGGTCAGAATGTGCCCTGATGGAGGGAACCTTGCCTTTATATGTTTTTACTCTTCCACACAAACATGTCTTTGTATGTCTATCTGTCTGCCTGTCTGTCTGTCCATCTGCTGTCTATCTGTACATTTATCTGTCTGTCTGTCTATCTGTACATCTATCTGCCTAGCTCTGCTTATCTGTCTGCCCAGTTCAGCTTATCTGTCTTCTGTGTGTGCCGGGAGTATAATATGAACTTGAATATGGTGTTATGACAAGACCAGATAACAAGTGACATTTGATGAATGTGCACTGTGGAGGGGGAAACCTTGCCTTTATATGTTTTTACTTTGCACACAAACATGTCTTTGTATGTCTGTTTTTCCTGACTTTCTGCCTGTTGTCTATTGTACATCTATCTATCGTTGCCTGGCTCTGCTTATCTATCTGACTAGTTCTGCTTATCTTTCTGTCTGCCTGTGATGTCTGTCTTTCCATCTGTTTGTCCCTATTCGGGAGCGGCTAGTAAACTGTTGGTTTGTGTTGTATGTGCCACTCCCTGATTCCCTGAGCAAGTGACACTGCTATTATTTGCGTTATGTTTATTATGTCGTATATCTACAAACAGTGTATAGCATTTGGCCTGGATTTTTGGGTTTCCTAGGTAATTTACATTATGTATAAACTGTATTTATGAGTACATGTGAGAGAGAGAGATTTTAGACAGATACAATAGACAGTGATATAGAGATATAGACAGAGATATGGATAGACAGAGTTAGACAGATACGGGAAGATACAGACAAAGACAGCCAAAGCCAGCTAGCTACCCAGCCGAATACATAAGAACATAAGAAAGAAGGAAACTGCAGCAGGCCTACTGGCCCATGCCAGGCGGTCCATTTTCACCCACTGGCTTAGACCAATGACCCACCTAGTGAGGTCACATCCACTGAAAGAAGGCGCATGACATCTGACCCAGTAGCACAAGTAGTCAGGTTCAACTCAAAACCCAAACCAAACCTACTCATGCATTTATCTAACCCTATTTTTTATTTTCCCTCTTAAAATGTGAGTGTTAGTATGACATGACATCAGTGAATCACTGGTGTTTGCCACACTAATTGCTCTAGCTGGCGCTCAGTTGAACTGGTGTTTCCCACAAGGTATAGTGGCCCCTCATTTTTCCGTAAGGCTTGAAAGTTGTGTTTTTTCAAAAATCGTAGCTTTTTTTCATAAAAACTTTGGCTCGCAAATTGTCGTTTGATCGCCAGTAGTCGTTCGTCTGGGACGCGTACAAAACCAGCCCGAGCCACCTCACACCCCAAATTCCCAGCCAGTGTGCCATTGTGTTTATCAGTGAGTGAGGATGACCCCACAAGTTCATACGATACATTTCAAAATATTCCATTCGTTTTAGTGCTTGCAATGCTAAATAAGTCACCATGGCTCCAAAAAAAGGCTTCTAGTCCCAGCCCTTTGGTAAAGAATGTGAGACACACACACAATTTAAGAAAAGTTTAAAGAAAAAAACGAAAGTGGTGGTGGTTAGGGGGTTTGGTAGTGGATGGTGGTAGAGGATGGTAGTGGTTGTGATAGTGGTAGATGGTGGTAGTGATGGTGGTAAGAAGGGGGTTTAGTGATGGTGGTAGCAGTTGTGATTTTAGTAGAGGGTGGTAGTGATGGTGGTAGAGGGTGGTAGTGGTTGTGATGGTGGTAGGGGTGCCTTCTTCGTGATTCTGCTAACTCCTCCAATGTTGTTGGAGTTATATAGGGCTACAGAAAACACTGCTGCCTCAGCTGCTGCTTCACCACCATTATGGAGGCTTATGCTTTTCAGTGGCCCTTATATACCCAAAAACAACAACACAACTCCTCTTGTGACATTCATAATGACTTATTTTATTCATTCTAGAGTATATTCCATGTTTCTATGTTATTAATATTGTTTATTATGTCATATTGGGTTAAATTGTGATAGATAAATAAGCTGGTAGAGTTGACATTAGTGTAATATTCTCCAACAATAAACTCGCCACCCCTCCCTCTGCCCGTCTCCCGATAACCCATGTGCAAAAATTTGTGCAACACCCTTTTCAATTTTGATACCACTGATAGTGTCATCCTGCCAGAATGTCCTAAAACCTATGCCATAAGTAAAGAAAAACAATTCTGGAACATGTGTACTTTGTGTTCAGCAGGCTGGGTGGGTGGCTGATTGACTTTGGCTGTCTCTGCCCTCCATTTGTCTGTCTGTGTCTATTTCTGTCTCTATTTGTCTCTGTCTTTGTTTATCTCTGTCTCTGTCTCACAGGTACCCCATAAATACAGTGGACCCCGACATTCAATTTTAAAACCCTTTCCCTGAGAGCTCATCGAATGTCGAAAATATCGAAAGGCGAATTAATTTCCCCCATAATAAAAATGGAAGTCAATTTAATCCATGCAAGACACCCAAAAGTATGAAAAAAAAAATTTTACTCAGGGAAATATTAAGTTTAATGCAATAGAATAATTACAATAACAACAATAACATTGATTAATAACAATGAATAATTGACACTTCCCTTTTAATGAAGATCTGGTGTTAAATGATGGGTGGGGAGGAGGGGGGGGTGAGTGTGGAGGGTTTGTTAGTGTTTGAAGGGGATCCCTTCCATTAGGACTTGAGGTAGCAAGTCTTTTTCCGAACTGGCAGCCTCACCATGCCTTACCACACTGTGTATGCCACTACGATTCTTAAATCTTTCAAACCATACTTTGCTGGCCTTAAATTCACTCACATCACACTAGTTGCAGGCAATTTCTTTACCAATCATCATGCAATTTCCCTAGCCTTTTCACAAATGATTGCTTGAGAGATGCTTATCTCTGCTATCTGTTTTTCATTTATCCACACCAATAATAGTCTCTCAACATCTTCTAACACTAGCGATCTCGTTCGTTTAAACACAGGGTTTCACCTTTTGCAAGAAACAGCTTCCTTGATTGCCGTTTTCCTGCTCACTACAGTAGAGATGGTTGATTGGGGTTTACTATACAACCTGACCAGCTCCAACACACACACTCCACTTTGTCTTTGCAATTATCTCTTTCTTCATTTCAAATAGTCATTAGCACCTTTTTTCTCGAAGGGTTGGCACTAGAAGCTTTCTAGAAAACAAGCACCAAAAAACAGTGATAATTTTGGAATGTATGAATGTATCCTTAGATGCGCGCACACTGCCTGGGTTGTAAAACCCCTGGCACACACAGGGCGGTTCAGGCCACATGTGGACACGTCTCATTTCGAATCGCATGAATAGCGGGTTCTGATCGAATTTCCGAGGCAAAATTTTTGCGTTAAAATTTCATCGAATGTCGGATTTATTGACATGTCGATGCCCTTGAATGTCGGAGGTCCACTGTACTATTAACATAGTGTAATTTTCCTAGGATAACCCAAAATAATCCAGGCAAAGTGCTATACTGTGCTTGTAGACATAAGGTATAATAAGCATGACTGACAAGTAATATGCATTTTCACTTTGTTCAGAATCAGACATGCAACTTGCATCATATGTAATACCTGTTGGTTCATGAGCAGCTCTCTCTGAACAGAAAGGACACAAGTAGACAGAGAGACAGGAAGACAGACCACAGGCAGACAGAAAGGGCAGATAAGCAGAGACAGATAAAACAGATACAGAACTAGAAGACAGATCTACAAGCAGACAGACATGTTAGTATATAACAGTGAAAACAAATAAAGCCAAGGCAGTGCACGATCATCAAGTGTCTCTACACTGTGCACTGTCAGCAGTGGAGTGACACTCGTCTTACACGGTGCTTCAAGGAGTTTCAATACAGTGGACCCCCCGGTTTACGATCAGCTCCCCAAAGCGACCAATTATGTAAGTGTATTTATGTACGTGCATTTGTATGTGTATGTTTGGGGGTTGAAATGGACTAATCTAATTCACAATATTCCTTATGGGAACAATTCGGTCAGTACTGGCACCTGAACATACTTCTGGAATGGAAAAAATATCGTAAACTGGGGGTCCAGTTACAGTAGGGCCCGCTTTACGGCGTTTCGCCTTACGGCCTTCCGCTAAAACGGTAATGTCAAATTAGATCAAAAAATTTTCTATACGGCAAGTGGGGGCTTTCAAATACTGACTCCCTACCCGGTTTGTTTACATTCTCCGTGACCACATCTATTACATCTGGAAACTTTTCAAAATTTTAAGTGTTTTACAGTTA